ACCGGTTGGCAGCCTGACATGTTGGCTAGCCGGTTGGCAGGCTGACATGTTGGCTAGCCGGTTGGCAGGCTGACATGTTGGCTAGCCGGTTGGCAGGCTGACATGTTGGCTAGCCGGTTGGCTGGCTGACATGTTGGCTAGCCGGCTGGCTGGCTGACAGGTTGGGCGGCTGGGCTGGCTGGCTGGCTGGTTCGCTAGTTGGATGGTTGGTTGGCGTTTAGGAAACCCGCCGAGCAATCGATACGGCCAACTGTAGCAATGATTATTAGCCTACTGAGCGCGTGTAAGGGAGAGAGAGAGAGAGAGAAAGAGAGAAATAATGGGGGCGATCGAGAAAAGTCGACCATTGAAGAGTGTGCGCGCACGCCGCGAGCGAGTGAGAAAACGAGAAGAAGAGGGGGGCGGTGCTGGCGGTGGCAGAGGCATGCTGAAAGGGAGAGGGGCGTGCGGAAAGGAATTGGAGGCGCCAGGAGAGATGGGTGGTATGCTGAGAAAGGGTACGATGTGGGAGGGGAGGCTAAAAGAAAGTGAAAGACCGCTGCGGTAGAGAGAGAGAGAGAGAGAGAAAGAGAGAACGAGCGAGAGTATGCGATGGGATGGGCTGAGAGAGAGTAGGGCATGTTGAAAGAAACTGAGGCACCGTGAGCGAGAGGGGGTATGGCGAGAGAAGATGCAGGCCCGCAAGGGAAGGGAGGAGGGCAAGAGACAAAATGTATGTTGAGAGAGAAAGAAAGAGGACATGTAGAGAGACTCACTCACTCACTCACTCACTCACTCACTCACTCACTCACTCACTCACTCACTCACTCACTCACTCACTCACTCACTCACTCACACTCACTCACACTCACTCACTCACTCACATTCACTCACTCACTCACTCAACCACACACCAAACCCACCGACTCACTCTCTCACTCATTCATTCTCTCGCTAACTCTCACTCACTCACTCACTCACTCACTCACTCACTCACTCACTCACTCACTCACTCACTCACTCAATCACTCGCTCACTGGCATCATGAACTGCTCCCTGCGTTGCTCTATCAGTGACGCTGCAGCCGATCTGATGAAGCGTGACTGTCTGTACTGATCAGGCGCTTCATTCATCGTGAAGCCAGCTCACGCATTCATCATCCATTACGATGTAGATTCTCTCTCTCTCTCTCTCTCTCTCTCTCTCTCTCTCTCTCTCTCTCTCTCTCTC